CTTCAATGTGTTTCTTTCCTGTCCTTTTAATATCTCTGAGATCTGTAGCAGTATTGTCTCCTTTATTTATTTGTTTGTTTTGTTTTGTTTTTTGAGATGGAGTGTCACTCTGTCGCCCATGCTGGAATGCAGTGGTGCAATCTCAGCTCACTGCAACCTCAGCCTCCCGAGTAGCTGGATTACAGGCACGTGCCACTATACTTGACTAATTTTTTGTATTTTTAGTACAGATGGGATTTCACCATGTTGGTCGGGCTGGTCTCAAACTCCTGACCTCAAGTAATCCACTCGCCTTGGCCTCTCAAAGTGCTGGAATTACAGGCGTGAGCCACTGCGCCTGGCCTATTTATTTTTAAAAGGAGACCATGGGTATTGCTGTGTTGCTCAGGCTGGCCTTGGACTCCTGGCCTCGGACTCCTGGCCTCAAGCTATACTTCTTCCTCAGCCTCTGGAGTAGCTTGACTACAGGTTTGTGCGGCTGGTACTTTAGGCATGTACCACTGCATCTGGCTTCCTTTTCTCATTCTTCATATTGGTAAATCAGCTGATGATTATCAGCCAATGGAAAGGGGTATAGAGTATCATAGGTGAGCTCGTTTGGATTCCTCAGGGAATATTCTTCGTCTCTTTCCTGTAGGGCATATCACTGTCTTGTCAGTGTCCTTAGCACCTAATAGGAAGAGAAGGCTGGTATCATTATTCATTTTGTCTACACTGACTTGATCTATCTTCATTTTCTATAGTACCCTGGCCGTTTGTTACCCCCTTGATGATGTATAGATCTCACGGGAGGAGGAAGTCATACTGCTGTGCAGAGGTGTCAGGGAATCTGCATCTGTGCATATTTTAAACCAATCATCTTACATTTTGCTTCATCTTCACTCCTGCTTGCAAAGTTCCTGGTGTCGATCCAATACTGAGGTGTATGGTGTGGTTCTTTGAAGACACAGATTGAATTGTTCTCTGGTTTTCTCTTATTGGCTTAGGATTTGGCTTTTCCACATCAGCTGAGGCAGTTACCGTCTTCTGTGTGCTTCTACATACAGACAATTTTGTTGCTACCATTTTTTCACCTGCTATTTGTCTTTCTGGGTTTACTCATTTTTAAAAAGCTATGTATTCTTGATCTTTTCTTTTCTTTTCTTTTTTTTTTTTTTTTTTTTTGAGACAGAGTATTGCTCCTTGCCCAGGCTGGAGTGCAATGGCACAGTCTTAGCTCACTGCTGTAACCTCTCCGCCTCCTAGGTTCGAGCAATTCTCCTGGCTCAGACTCCTGAGTAGTTGGGATTACAGGCATGCGTCACCACGCCTGGCTAATTTGGTATTTTTAGTAGAGACGGGGTTTCTCCATGTTGGTCAAGTGGTTGTCAAACTCCTGACTTAAGGCTTATCTTCCCACCTCGACCTCCCAAAGTGCTGGGATTACAGGCGTGAGCCACCATGCCCGGCCTCATCTGCCATTTTTAACACAATGTTTATTTCTGTACTTTCCATTGTGGCAACCACTGGCTGCATATGGCTATATAAACGTAATTAAAGTAGGCAAAAATTCAGTTCCTCTAACACTGGCCACATTTTAAGTGCTTATTAGCCAGATTTGGTTAGTGGCTATGGTGTAGGACTATGCAGACATAGAATATTTCTATTAATTCAGAAAATACTTTTAAAAAGTACTGATCTGTACTGTTAATAAAGCATAAATAAGGCCGGGCATGGTAGCTCATGCCTGTAATCCCAGCACTTTGGGAGGCCAAGGCAGGCAGATCACCTGAGGTCAGGATTTCGAGACCAGCCTGGCCAACATGGTGAAAACCCATCTCTACTAAATGTACACAAAAATGAGCCAGGCATGGTGGCAGGTGCCTGTAATCCCAGCTACTTGAAGTCTGAGGCAGGATAATTGCTTGAACCCGGGAGGTGGAGGTTGCAGTGAGCCAAGATTGTGCCACGGCACTGCAGTCTGGGCGACAGAGCAAGACTCGGTCTCAAAAAAAACAAAACAAAAAACAGAAATCAGACCATATGGTGTCCACATATCAATCCCTGTCATCTCCAGGACATCTCAATTCCTGTTTTAATGTCACCTCTCACTCTCCTTGCCCACATCACTGCTCATTTCATTCCTTGCTGAGCTGATTGATTTTGTTTTCTGCAGATTTTGATTTCTTGACCCTTTGATACTTCTTTGCTTTTGCTTTCTTTTTTCTTTTTAAAGACAGGGCATTGCTTTGTCACTGAGGCTGGAGTGCAGTGGTACTATCAGAGCTCACTGCAGCCTCGATCTCTTAGGCTCAGATGATCCTCCTGCCTCAGCCTCCTGAGTAGCTGAAAGTACAGGTGCATGCCACTATGCCCGACTGATTTTTTAATTTTTTGTAGAGGCGCGGTCTCATCATTTTGCGCAGGCTGGTCTTCAACTCCTGGACTTAAGCGATAAACCCACTTGGGCCTCTCAGAGTGTTGGGATTACAGGCGTGAACCACCACGCCTGGCCTCTTGTCATTCTTTTACCTAGAATTTCCCCCATCCCAAATAATGTGGCCCTCTGTTGTATCAGTTTGTCTATCTTTTGTGTTTTAAAAATGATTTTTGGCCGGGCGCAGTGGCTCACGCCTGTACCCAGCACTTTGGGAGGCTGAGGCGGGCGGATCACGAGGTCAGGAGATTGAGACCATCCTGGCTAACACAGTGAAACCCCGTCTCTACTAAAAATACAAAAAAATTAGCCGAGCTGAGGCAGGAGAATGACGTGAACCCAGGAGGCGGAGCTTGCAGTGAGCCGAGATTGCGCCACTGCACTCCAGAATGGGCGACAGAGCAAGACTCTGTCTCAAAAAAAAAAAAAAAAAAAAAAAAAGATTTTCAGGCCGGGCGCACTGTGGCTCACACCTGTAATCCCAGCACTTTGGGAGGCCGAGGTGGGCAGATCACAAGGTTGGGAGATCGAGACCATCCTGGCCAAGATGGTGAAACCCCGCCTCTACTAAAACTACAAAAATTAACTGGGCATGGTGGTACGTGCCTATAATCCCAGCTACTCTGGAGGCTGAGGCAGAAGAATCTCATGAACCAGGGAGTCAGAGGTTGCAGTCAGCTGAGATTGTGCCACTGCACTCCAGCCTGGTGACGGAGTGAGACTGTCTCAAAAAAAAAAAAAAATTTTTTTTTTCAAGCTGAAGTGAAATCTTCCTCAGGTCTGCTCTTTCCTATTCTCCTTTTCTGTGCTTTTTTTATCTGATGTATTTTAAAGATGACTCCTTTAACATGTCAGGGCTTGTGGTGTTTAGGATGCCGATGTTCAACATCATGTAAGTATATTTAGTGGGGCATGAACCTTACTTTAGGGTGAGGCAGAAAACTAGACCTGTGATTACTTTCTACCAATTTTTTTTTTGGGGGGCGGAGTCTTGTCCTGTCACCCAGGCTGGAGTGCAATGGCATGATCTCAGCTCACTGCAACCTCCACCTCTGGGGTTCCAGCAGTTCTCCTGCCTCAGCCTCCTGAGTAGCTGGGATTACAGGCGCACGCCGCCACGCCTGGCTTATTTTTTGTATCTTTTAGTAGAGAAGTGTTTTCACCATGTTGGCCAGGCTGGTCTCACTCCTGACCTCGTGATCCACCTACCTCGACCTCCCAAAGTGCTGGGATTACAGGCGTGAGCCACCGCGCCCGGCCCCACTTTCTACCTGTTTTTATGTATTTGGTGAGGTATATTGTTTCCCTTTCCTTGACTGTAACCTGTTATTTTAACTTACTTTTTTCCTAGTAGTTCTGTTTAATTTTCTATATTTCCTGTAAAAACATAACTTGTAAAAAATAACTTTTTGTAGAACAAAGAGTATCATAAATAAGTGTAATATTCATGAGCAGAGGTTTTATAAGATTTGAGTTGATACAGAGGAAACAACTTTAGGGTGTTTTTGCAATTTGTAAGAAAGAATCTGTTTTAGCTCTTTTTCATGTTCCTCTTATCTTGGGACAGTATTTGAGCCTCGTAGGTTCTGATGTTTATTGTTCCATGCCGTATGTTCCCTGTTCAGTCTGTGGAGGCAGACGTCATTCTTGTAAGATGCCTTTTTCATGTGTGTTAATTCCACTGAGATGCCTTGTGGTTAGCACCAACCAGTTGATTTCAGTTTCTGCTCTTTTTGGGCCTACATTGCCATAACCCTTTCACTACCCAACCCACTTAAGAAAAGCCATCTTTCAAGGAACCATCTCTTTTTATCTCAGAATCATTTTGCTAATGATATAAAATGTGATAATTTCTAGTATGAAAGTTATCTTTTGGCTGGGCATGGTGGCTCACACCCGTAATCCCAACATTTTGGGCCGCCAAGGTGGGTGGATCACTTGAGGTCAGGAGTTTGAGACCAGCCTGGCCAACATGGTGAAACCCTGTCTCTACTAAAAATACAAAAATTAGCCTAGTGTAGTGGTGCACACCTGTAGTCCCAGCTACTTGGGAGACTGAGGCAGGAGAATCACTTGAACCTGGGAGATGGAGTTTGCAGTAATCTAAGATGCATCATTGCACTCCAGCCTGGGTGACAGAGCAGGACACCATCTCAAAAAGTTATCCTTAAAAAAAAATTATTTGGGGCTGGGTGTGGTAGCTCATGCCTGTAATCCCAGTGCTCTTGGAGGCCAAAGCAGGAGGATTGCTTGAGCCCAGGAGTTGGAGACCAGCCTGAGCAACATGGCAAAACTCCATCTCTACAAAAAATACAAGAATTAGCCAGGCATGGTAGGATGCACCTGTAGTCCCAGCTCCTAGGCAGACTAAGTGGGGGGATCACCTGAACCTGGGGAGGTGAAAAAAAATTTTTTTAAACATTTGTTCTTATATGAGAGTTTGTTGTATTACCTCCCCTTTATTAAAAAATACAGTAAAAGAGATCATTGTTTTTTGATTAAGCTACATGTTACAGAAAGTATAAAAAGCCACCCAGGTAATGATTTCATTTTGTAAGTTTATGTTCTCTTCTTTTCCTTATAGAATGGACATGGTGGTGGTCGAAGTCAGCAGACACTAGACAGTAAGTATAACAGCAGGCTACTCTTGTCATGGCTGGTGCCAACCAAACAGAGGAAGAAGATAGCTCAAGTGATGTGGAAAACACCAGTTGGTCAATGGCTCATTTGTTAAAAAGCAGCCCTATTGCTTTTTTTTTTGGACCAGGTGTTGGCTGTGGTATTATTAGAAATGTCTTAGCCACAGCAAGAGGGAGGTGATGGTCTCATGTTCTTCTGCCCTAATCACACTGCACCACAAGTGCAGTGTACAGTACGCATCTTAAAGATGCTTGGGCCAGGCTGGGTGGGTTATGCCCACAATCCCAGTTCTTTGGGAGGCCAAGGCAGGCAGATCGCCCAAGCTCAGGAGTTTGAGATCCCCTGGGCAACATGGTGAAACTCTATCTCTACTAAAATATGAAAATTTAGCTGGGTGTGGTGGTGCGTGCCTGTAATCCCAGCTACTTGGGAGGCTGAGGCACAAGAATCGCTTGAGCCAGCTTGGGCTACAAAGTGAAGACTCCATCTCAAAAAAAAAAGTACTTCTAAAGCAAAAATTACTGTTCTTGTTCAGGAAAGATAGGCTCATTGTCTTTAGGACCTGAAGGACTGTTGCTTAGAAAGAGAGATAAATGTTCACTGTGGACATTTGGGAGAAAATGAGGCCCCCTTCCAACAGCTCAGTGACTACCAAAGATAGTACAGGCGAATCTGTTAATTGCTTCTTTTCTGTAGTTGACCAACTTGTCTGTGATTGTTTATAGTAGTTTTCTTTCTTTATTCAGGAAGGCAAATGGATGGGGAAGCCAGAAAGACTCTCTTTAAATAGGATTTCCTGGGAGTGCGGATATTGAACTTAAGCAGACCGGGGTGAGCCTCAGTTGACACTGTAATGACAGATTTGGAGCCCCAGGATTTTGGTTTGACATTTGCTGGTATTGTTGGGCTGCCAAGTCTGTTTGGAGATTCGTTGGTCATTCTGAGCTTGCTGGATGACAGAGGAACTTTTTACTCTAGCAGTGGTAGTGGCAGGTTTCTTTTGTCTAGGCGTGGGTCGAGAACTGAAGTATCTGGGAAGCAGTGTACATTAACCTACTTTTCATTTCCCATACTCTCTTCTCCCTCACTTCCTCCTCTCCTTCCCTCCCCATTTTGTTTGTTTGAGAGAGGCTTCCTGTGAAGCTGTTAGCATCGTAATACAAGGCCCAGGGCGGTACCTTTTGGGGTCTTAGTTTTAGGTGAGGTTTATCTATCGTGTCTTTATACAGTTTATTTATGAACAGGTTTATATATGGAATAGACTGCCAATAAAAAGAAGGCCTCTGTAAGAACTGACCTAGGTGTAAGTTGACCCTTTCATTGCTTGTGTTTGTTTTTGACCTGCCCTTCCTTTAGAGACAAGTGCTTTCCCTGGGTTTTAGAAGGGTCAGGGTTGCTCCTCTTTCCTAACTGGAAAAGACAATGATGTTTTATTTCCAAGCACATATCTGAGTTGTATGTGTGGACAGCACTGAAACTGAGTCTTTCCACAGCTAGGATTGAGTGTCACCACATTCTTTCTGAAGCCTACGAAGCTCATGTGTGTGCTTTGAGATTCATCTATTCAAGCACATACCAAGGAAATGCTCACTGTGCATTTGGAAATAGGTGTTGGACAGTAGATGTATGTTCTTCCTGCAGATGTTAGCTATCTGTGTCTCTATACAACATATGCATCGACCCCTGTCTACCTTACGTTGGCCGTGAGCATTGGTAGCGTCAGCCTGACTTGGCGGAAGCATGTGTAGGTGGTCTCACCTGTCAGCTTCTTACTCCCCCTTGCTGTGCCCTTTGAGGAGTTTGCCTCACGTTATAATTCTATATATTAGGCTCAGCACCTGTTTTTCTTTCTGGATGCATCTATAGCTTAGGTTCCTTTAGGTGGAAAAAGTATGTTCCCATATAGGATAGATTGGATTATAAAGGTGTCATTTCCTATTCTTTGCTGCATCTTGAACACCTGAGCATGGTGTGTCCTTTGATAGTGTTGTTTGACAGACAAGGGGCTATCTGGCGACATGCTTGGCATTTTCCTGGGGAATGTAACTTTATGGACGTCTCAACTGAGGCTGACATGTCACAAGATATTGAGCATATTTTCAGATACTTAGGATTGGTTGTAGAAATAAACAGATCTGTTTCTTACAGCTACTTCGTCCATTCCTGCTCCAAAGACAACAGGCCCTCCCTCTGCCCTCCCGTCTGTGAGCTCCCTGCCCAGCACCACCTCCTGCCCTGCACTTCTGCCGTCCACATCCCCTCACACTGGCGACCTGAGCAGCAGCCCTCTCTCTCAGCTTAGCAGGTATGGGGAAGGTGTGGGCCCAGAGTGAGAAGTACCTTGGGGCAAAGTCCTGGAGCTCCTGTAGAAGGTTGCTTCCATGAACAGAGCACACTTGTTGTCTCTGACATGATGTCCCGAGCTTTTGCGTTACAACTGTAGCTTAGGTTTTGGCCCGGCTGTGCCTTAAAACCACCAGATAGGGAAACCTTGCCTGCTTGGACCGCCTCTACTGGCACAGAGCACTGGGTCCCCTGGGAGTAGGGTGAGGCCAGCAGCTCCCTCCTACCTGACTTCGCCCTCCAGAGGGTGCCTGAGCCTAGACTCTCTGGGCATCGCTGGACCCGTGTCTGTGAGGTGGAAGGAGAATGATGGATTTCTGAGCTGGTGTCTGGCCTGAACTTTCCATGGCTGAAGAAGCAATGTTATTAGAACAAGGTGTAGGAAAATGGGCGGCGTTGCTACCTCTGTCTTCTGAGGAGTGTTCTCCATCACTCTTTAACCAGGAGCAAAAGTGGATTTGATGGGAATTGGTATGTGGAGTTGAGCATAGGAACTTTGATCCCTCATTCACAGATTGAATGGGGTTGTCAAGGATGACTGTGTTCTTAGTGCAACTCTGTCTTCACTTTTGGCATCTGAGGAGCAAGTGGATGTCATTGAGGGAAGCTGGCTCTGGAGTTTTCCAGACCTCATGGCAAGTCGTTCTCATCCACCAGGACTCATCACTGGGCTCTTTGGGGATAAGGAATGAGGAGGGGTCTGAAGCTGGTCCTTCGCCAGGGACTAGGGACAAGTTTGAATCTAGCTCACTGAGCCACGTGGGTCTTGTTCATCTGGAATCACTTGTTCAGGTGGACATACGGCACTCTTGTTTTGTCTTCTAGTTCGCTCTCCAGCCACCAGAGCAGCCTCTCCTCTGCGCACGCAGCCCTCTCCTCGAGCACGTCACACACAGTAAGTGTCTGCGCGGCTTCCTCTTCCTCCACCATGCTTAGGGAGCCTGGAGCTTAGTCAGATGCAACTGGAGCTTCAGTCTGATTTTTAGTATCTGATAATCTAGAGTTGCTTGGCGGAAATGTCTTGATGGCATGATCTGGTTCGAGCCTCCGATTTCCTGGGCACCATCTGGGGGACATCTTGCTTTCTAAGTTTGTAGCACCTGGGAAGAATCGTTGCTCCAGACCTCATCTGTCATTGGCAGGACTGTCAGGTGGTGACCTTGCTCCCAGGAATTTGCTGTTTGATCTTTCCTTGTGCCTTTTTTCCTGACTCAGAGGCAGAGATTGTGAGAAGGTTGATGTTAGAGAAGGGAGTCTAGAGGGTGGAAGCAAACATGCACTGCCAAGAAGCCAAACAGGAGGCCGGAGTGGGAGCACCAGCTGGGAAGTGTCCTCATATGCCAAAGAGTAGCCCTAGATTATGGTCATTGAGGTGTGGCTCAGTGGATCGTGGAGCTGTGAGCATGGTTTTAAGTGGTAGGTGTCAGCCAGATTGTCGTGGCTTGTGGAGTGAATGGTAGTGAGATGGAGATGATGAGGCGGATTGTAGAGGGCATCCAATGAAAACTTAGGAGAGGCTGGAACGTCTATTGGGAGGATAGAAAGGTACCTGGATTAATAAAATGTCCATGCTCCTGGACAGCAGGAGGTGTTGGGTGAGGTTGGAGTAGGCAGGTCCACAGGCCGAGAGGAAGGATTAGGGTGCAGACGAACAGAGGAGGGAGGAAACTGATATGAACTTGGTGTCCTCTGAGGAAGGCAGCAGCTCACTAGCAGAGTGAGGTGGTGGAAAAGGGATGTCCTGTCCTTTCCTCTGCATCTGGCTAATGCTGTGGCTTTCACACGCTGATGTTCCAAGTCAAACCTTACACAGAATCTTTTATAAAACACACAAACTGCCACTTTCAAAGTAGAGCACAGTGTGGACACCTCTGCCTGTCCCCCTGCCCCTGCCCTTGCCCTCTGTGGCTCATGGGAGCCGTGAGCTGACCTCAGCAGGAACGCCATGGGGCTGCCCTCTGTGTCCGTGCCACTGCTGCCTGGGAGCCCAGTGCTCCTGCACTCACGGTGAGCTGCACTCTCCATCTCCTCAAAAAAAACTCCAGATCATGTATTCCAACCTGCCACAGCCAGAATCGCCTCATCCAGTGGGTTCCATACTTTGTCAGCATGACAGAACTGTGACGTTGCTAATACAGTTGTCCCTCCATATTTGCAGGGAATTCATTCCAGGACCGCTGCCTACACCAAAATCTGCACATTCTCAAGTCGCACAGTTGCCCCTGCAGAACCCATCTCTAGGAAAAGTCAGGCTTCCAAATATGTGTGTTTTCAAATTATGCATGCCTGCATTGGGTTGAAAAAGAAATCTGCCTGTAAGTGGACCCATGCATTTCAAACCTGTGTTGTTCAGCCGTCAACTGTTTGTTCATAATATTTCATCTTAAAAGTTATAGAAAGATAGACAATGAAAAGTTTTTCTTTTTCTTTTTTTGAATTGTTTAAAAATAGATTTTATTTAAGCCAGAATAAGAATGCAAAATAATCATGAAAGAAATTTTGTGCCTGGGTTGACCACAGGAATATGTGATTTTTTATTATTTGCTTTTGGTATAGCATTTATAAAGTCACAACAAACTTGGGAAAAAAAGTGACATTCTGAAGTTCAAAAATTTTACTATGTTCTACAAATCTTTTATTATTGACAATAATAGATCATCCTTCAATAATTAATAGAAACTTAATTATTTGAATAAAAGTTTTGAATATAAAATTAAGTTTTTTGAATATAAGAACTTTTTCTTATATTCAGTTTTGAACCTAAATGTCTAATCACAGAGTACTATTTAGAAAAACTCTGGTAGGTATATTTTATGGCATGCAGGGACATAGCTATCAGGGACAGAACGGCTTAGAGATAAAAATAGACTCTGGAACCAGACTGCTTGGGTTTGTGTGCCTGCTCTGTCCTTACTCCCTGTGTAAAAACGGGCAGGTCAATTAACTAACTTCTATGTGCCTCTGTTTATCTTTTTAATCTGGAAAACTGAGATAATAGTATATACATCATAGTCATGGCATGGCTGTGAACATTAACTGTTAACATATGTAAAATGTTTCAAATGGTAACTGACATACGATGAAAGTATAAAGCTTTACTTTTTGAAAAAAAAATTTTAAATGTTATACAAAACATTAATAAATTACATAGTATACAATGTTAGGCAATAAAAACAGGGTACATAATTAGATGCGATGTATGATTGAATTGGCTTTTCAAATAGGTTTAAAACAATCCCCATATAGAAAATGAATGTCTACCAGAAAAATTATAGCTTAATAAGAATTTATATTGCAACCTAAATTAGTGTTTGTTTTACTCAGTAGATTCAGTATTCCAACTTCCAATTTGCAAGTAGCCCAAAATATTCCTTTTTCCCCTGTAAAAGTGAATTCCACAGCTCTGCAGAAGCCCTGGGCTTGGCTGGGGTAGGGACCTCTCAGTGACTCTCTGCAGGCCCACCCCTTGAAGCAGGCTCAATTCTGATGTGTCATGGACATTCTGGCCTCTAGAGAAAAATCAAAACTGCAAATTTTAAATTGGAAAAAAAGCCAAAAGTCAAACATATCCCTTGATCTACTTCTGCTATTCTTGTCAATTTACAACGAAAAGATTTTCTGTCTCTCATCTACTTGGCTCTACCTTTACATTTTCTCAATCCTTTAGATGATTTTTCTTTTAATAAATAGAAGTCTAAACATGCAGTGCGTACACATAGTCTTTTTGCCATTATCATCTGCCCTTTTTTTTTGAGATGGAGTCTCACTCTGTTGCCCAGGCTGGAGTCCAGTGGCGCAGTCTCGGCTCACTGCAAGCTCCACTTCCCAGGTTCAAGTGATTCTCCTGCCTTAGCCTCCTGAGTAGCTGGGGTTACAGGTGCACACCACCATGCCCAGCTAATTTTTGTATTTTTAGTAGAAACGGGGTTTCACTATGTTGGTCAGGCTGGTCTCGAACTCCTGACCTCGTAATCCACCCGCCTCAGCCTCCCAAAGTGCTGGGATTACAGGTGTGAGCCACTGCGCTGGCCATTATCTGCCCTTTTTATTGTTTTCTCTTGGTACATAAATGAGAGTATTTTATGTACAGTGTCCTTCAACTTTTTTTTTCCCACTTGTGTATCCCCACAAGTGTATTTTGATGTTTCCATGTTGAAACAAGGGTTTTGTTGTTGTTGTTGTTGTTTTTCCCCACAGTTCTGCTTTAGGGTCGTTTTCAGTCTTGATACTACAGAGAATGTTGCATTTGATAACCTACCTATGTTGTTTCATGTGTGTGGCTGTATGTAGCGGGTCAGTCCACGATATGGAACAGCAAAGCATTTGTGATTTTATACACATTTCCAGATTGCCCTGCATAGTGATTTGACCCTGTTTACCTCCCACTGGCAGTGAATAAAATGTCCTGTTACACCATTGCCTCCTCATATGGTGTTATTAAACATTCGTATTTTCTTAATATGTTAGCAGAAAAATGGCCCATCAGTCTAGTTTTTAATGAGATTGTACATCCTTTTATATATATATTTGAAAACCATTTGATTTCCTTTATGTGAGTTTTTTATTTTTATTTTATTTATTTATTATTATTTTTTTGAGACGGAGTTTTACTCTTGTGGCCCAGGCTGGAGTGCAGTGGCGCAATCTTGGCTCACTGCAGCCTCCACCTCCTGGGTTCAAGCGATTCTCCTGCCTCAGTCTCCCTAGTAACTGGGATTACAGACACATGCCACCAGGCCCAGCTACTTTTTTTATATTTTAATAGAGGCAGGGTTTCACCATGTTGACCAGGCTGGTCTCAAACTCCTGACCTCAGGTGATCCACCTGCTTCCGCCTCCCAAAGTGCTGAGATTACAGGCGTGAGCCCCCGCACCTGGCCTATGTAAGCTATTTATATTCTTGGTTCCTTTTCTTGTCAGGTCTTTGGTCTCTGTTTCTGTATTAGGGAGCCCTTCGTGATGGGAAGTATAGGGATTTTTCCCTAAGTTTGCTGTTTATGATTTTTTTTTACAGAGATCTATGTATTTTCTTCCATTTTCTCATAGTTAGATCTTTATCACTCTCCATCCGTACTTAAAGGAAATTTAAGTATCTTCTGCTGCCTTTGCTTCTCTGGGCCCATCCATCAATGGGGAGTTGACTGCATAGACCCCATTGGATGGACTGAGCGAGGCCTTTAAAATTGGTGTTGACCTTTTAATCCAGCAGGTTGATGTCCTCCCAGTTCTGGAAGGTCAAGGCCAGAGACAGGAACCCTGTCGGGCAGCTAAGGGAGAAGAGACTTGCCGGATGACTCTTGAGTCCCTTTCAGCAAGTGAGGGCCTAGTTCCCTAGTGAGCTTCTCTTAGCGATGGGGAATGTTTATTTTTCCTTCTGAGACTAAAAGGTTGTATATATCCAAGTACACTTGCGAGCATTGGTCAGAGCTGTTCCAGATTTCTGTGGCAGGTAGTGGGGGGTCTGGCTCCTCGCTAAGGAGGGGACCTAGATGGCGGGCAGGCCACTGCATCCTTTGCCCTTTTCCTGGTGGGGCTCTCTCCAGCCTAGTCCTGCCCATCTGTGGAGGAATAAGATGCCTTGGAACCCCAGGAAACCATGTTTTTGGCTGTCTTTACCTTGGTGAATCTGTTCTGATGTTAGCTCCTTAAAGCCAGTACCCAGGTGGGTAGTGACCTGTGGGCATGGGTTGGCGCGGAGAGTTAGTCTGCGGAGGCAGGTTGGGTCCTTCTCCTGGGCCCTTCCTGTTGTTTGGCTTTTCCTCTACGAGTTGATATGCTGCTTTCTATGCCCTGGTTTGGAGACTGGTCTCCCTCTTACAGAGCTTTTCCTCCCTTTTTTGGAACTTGCTTTGCCCACCTAGGTGTACCTCTCCCACCTACCCACTCGGAGCTTGAAGTTCTTCATAGGGCCCTGTTGCTCGGGTTGGGCAGCTGGGTGGGGCTTCTGGAACTTGGGGCTGATGGAGCGTCTGCTGGTTCACTCTTTCTTCCCAGGGATACCTTGTCAAGCAGGCATAGTGGCAGGCCATGCCCTTTTAGGTGGGCCCTGGTGAGGCGTTGGTGGACTGAAAGATGTCACCAGGTTTTGGAGCAAAGGCCTCTCTCAGCCTCCTGTTGTTTCCAGACCACAGTGGCTGAGAATCCCAATAGAAGGGAAACCTCCAAAAGATTGAGACTTGTGCTGGGCTTCCTGTGGCCTATGCTCGCCTCTTCTCAGACTGTTTGCTTTGCTCTGAGATAGGTACTTGTCCCATATTCAGATAGTCTGTGTTCATTTATGATCCAAAGTTATCTTGGGATTTCTGTGCCCTCATTTTGGATGCCAATGCATGAGCAGCTTGAAGGATTTTTACAGAGTTGTGGTCATTAGAGCTTAATGTTAATAGTTTTGATGTTCAGTTTATGTATTGTATCCTGATGGCTGGAACCAGCGGCTGTGTGAGGGGCCACAGTGTGCACTGAGCACGGTGCCTCTCACCTTAAGGGAGCCTGGGTAGCTACATCATCACCTGCCTGCTCAGCCTTGAGACTATGGGCCCAAGCCCCAGGCCAGTCTCTCCCCAGCACCCTCCTCCTCTGCCTCCAGATCCATGTGTCCTGGCTTTTCTTTTGCCAGCATGCCAGTGTGGAGAGCGCCTCTTCTCTCCAGTCCTCAGCCAACTTCTCCACGGCAGCGACCTCCGTCTCGAGTTCCGCATCCTCAGGCGTCAGCCTGTCCAGTAGCATGAACACCGCGAACAGCCTCTGTCTGAGTGGGACCCCCACGAGTGTGTCCAGCAGCAGTAGCAGGGCCGCACCCTTGGTGACCTCAGGTATGTGCTTCAGAGGCCTTTCCTGCCCACCCCTGAGCCCCTCAAAGGTGTCTTCTTGGCGTCCCAGGAAGGCAGTGCAGGTGTCAGGAGAGTCTTAGTCCTGCCAGGTGTGCTGTGTGTTCCATTGACCTTGAGGCCTGATCTCCCCACCCCTGATGGGGATGAATTCTCCCTGGCAGGATTCCTGGCCTCTGTGTGCTTCTAGCTTTCCAATCTTTCCTCTCTGTTCTTCCCTGGAGCCGAGTTGACATGGTGACTTAGAGGGGCCAGGGACGACTTATTGTGGGCTCCTCGACTGCAGACCTAGGCTGTCGGTAGGCCCAGCAGACTATGATTTGATGGTTGCTGCTAAAACCCACTTTGAACTCATCCTGTTCCTCTCCTGGCACTGCATGGCTTCCTTGCCCTCTTTGGAGGAGGCAGATTCTTTTTATATTTCTCTTTGCTCAGTGCAGTGGGACCTTAGGGACTGGGGGAAAGGGGCTGCTTTTGTCTGGGCCCAGAACTCTCTGACGTTGAAACAACCTCGGTGTGGTGGCCGGGTTTTCTGTCTCCCCTTCACTGCTTTGTAGAATGACCCTCTGCCTCATTCGGCCACTGCCCTTCTTTGAACCCATCTGGGGTAGCTCAGTGACTGTGCCTCCTCCTGAAGCAGCTGAGGACTCTCACTCTTTGTGGTGACTACTTCACTCCATTTGATTTTTCCCTCTATACAGGCAAAGCACCCCCAAACTTGCCTCAGGGGGTGCCTCCCCTGCTGCACAACCAGTACCTCGTAGGTCCTGGAGGACTGCTTCCTGCCTACCCGGTGAGTGCTTGGTTGAACTCCTGGCCTGCCCAGCTCCCCTGGCCTCAGGGGCTGGCACCTGGCAGGAGCCTGGCATTGGGCCCAGGTTGCCCACCTCGAGCTGCCCTTCCATCCCTGAGCCCCCCGTCTCTGCCCTGCTGAGCCCTGTGGTCTTCTTCCATCTAGACTCCGTGAAGGCAGGACCTGTTCCCATAACAGCTGATCCAGATCCCATTCCCGGGTGTGTTACAGCCCCGCAACCTTGTTTTGACTCCTAGATGGACCTGGGCTTCCCAGGGGGTGGTATGTGGTTCCTAAAATACACGTTCTGGTTCTCACACAGATCTATGGCTATGACGAGCTCCAGATGCTGCAGTCACGGCTGCCAGTGGTGAGTGGGGTGTGGACTGGTCGGAGCAGAGGGTTCAGAATCTTTTACATGTCCCCCCTCTTGTGGTCTTGGCTGCCACCCTGTCTGGCCCTTGGGATCCTCTGCCTGAGGAACCTCTCAGCACCACTACTGAGAAAGCTGTTTTCATCTGGCGGTTGTGCCAGGCGTGACCATAGCTTTGGCACAGAATGTCCGGTGCTCATCCCTAGGAAACATGAAGGCCTTTGAAACCTGGGGCTCTGGTAGGCCATGCCCCCTGCTAAATGTTGGTGCTTAATAATCTTCCCTCCTTCATCTTGTTTTCTCTCTTCCTCTCTTTTTTAAAAAGAAAACCCATATGACACAAGACATGGAGGTTGCTTGCTTGGCCCTGGAGTTTTATAATGTCTTCCTTTTCCTCAGAGTACCATATAGCGTCTTTGGTCTGAGGTGGCCAGTGACTGCTCTTCTGCCATCAGCTGAATGAGTGGCTTGAGCTGATGGTCTTTAAGATCTCTTCTAGGTCTGGCCTCCCATCTAGATTTGTGAGAATGCCTGCCCTGGGACGTCCCTGTTGGTTGCAGCCTTACTCTGAGGCCAGGGTTGCCTCTTTATTCTGACCGTTGGTGCCAGAACGCAGTGTGGGCCTTTCCAGGGATAGCCACATGAACACAACTGTGGGGACAGAAGGCAATAGAGCCGCTCCTTGCCCTGCCCACGGGCAGGACTTCCTCCTGGGAGCCACTCTCTTCTTGCTCTGCCATTTCCCGGGGCACTTGTCAGAGAGTTGCAAGCAGTTTGGACACCTGTGTCCACCTCTGCTGGATACAATCTTTCCTGTTCCTGGAGGAAGGGGCTTTCTCCCTTGTGGAGTGCCGCCTTCTCATTCTTCCCCGTTGGTGTTGCCCCCTTCTCTGCCGGACCACAAAGAGCTGACGGAGCTGCTCTTGTTTCGGAAGAGTAGCCCTTTCCACTGGCTGGCCATATTTCCAGAAGCAGAGGCCCAGCCTGGGAGCTGAGCAGCTTCTCCCCACTGCAAACCAGCAGCCCTTTAATCTGCGGGCCAAAGACCCAGAGTGCAGGAGGTGGTGCTGAGCCCCGGGATTCATCCTGCTTCAGGGGCTCTCCATGGTCTCCACATGTATTCACAGCACTCTTTTGGCTTTTATCACTTTGTGCCTTAGAGAAAACACCCTCTGGAGCCCACCTTTTGAGATATGTTGCTCTTTCTATCCCTCGAGTTTTTTGTTCACCTCTGCTGCTTGTGAGCCTGGTTCCCGCCTGGAGATTTCTCATGTTCTGTGAAAGGGCTCCCCCTTCTGGACTTTCTCTACTCCCGCCCTCAGTTGTGCAGCTCTGTGCATTCCCAACTCTGCCTCCCCTGGGGGTTCTAGGCTGCTGTGGGTTTCCGGAAGGTTTCCTGGAGGGTGTAAGTGCCATTCCCAGCCAGGATGGCTCCTTTCTGGCCATGATCGGGCACAGCCCAAGGGCTTTCCCTGTCCTCAGGGGCCAGGTGTGTCGGGAGTGCGAGGCCCTGGATGGTGAGTGAGGGTCAGGTGAGGCCTCCCCTCCTCCACGAAGTTCCACTGTGTTTTCCCGTCTCTGTCTCCACACTGTGTTGTATCTGCCATACTTCCCCCAAGTCCTAGGCCAGGGGTGTCCAATGTTTTGGCTTCCTTGGGCCACACTGAAAGAATTGTCTTAGGCCACACATAAAATACACTCACATTAAAGATAGCTGATGAGCTTTAAAAGATTTGCAAATTTCATGTTTTAAGAAAGATGAATTTGTGTTGGGCCACATTGAAAGCTGTCGCGGGCCGTGGGTTGGACAAGCTTATCCTAGACCGTGTCAGTGTTTTCAGAGCAGTATAGGTGGTGACAGGCCAGTTCCGGGCTTCACCTGGGGTCCTGCTCATTCCTGTGCCTACCTGGCACTGCCCCCTATCCCCCCTTAAACCTTTCAGGCCCTTGTACTTCTGTTGCCTCCTTTTTTGGGGCTGCTCTGTTTAGTCAGCTTTCCTAGCTGCTCTGCAGTCTCTCACAGAAAAGCCAGTGAAGTGGTTCAGCCCGAGGCATTCACACAAGCATCTGCCTGTGGTGTCAGATGGATGTGTGAGGCTTGGTCTGCGGCAGCGCTGCCTGGCGAAGCTGCAGGGTTGGCTGGTCTGTGTGCTCGTGTGTTAGGCCGCCTAGTTGCACACTCCTCTGAGGGGCACCATTTACTTGGTGTTCCCTGGGACTGCTGGCTTTCAGGCGTGCAGTCTATTTCAGGAGTGTAGCATCACCTAAACTTTCATGGGCTGGTTCTGCTGTCCTGGGAGTCAAGCAGGGCCAGTCGCTGATCGAGCCTCCCTGGTCTCTCCTAGGACTACTATGGAATTCCCTTTGCTGCACCCACAGCGCTTGCCAGCCGAGATGGGAACCTAGCTAATAATCCGTATCCAGGTGAGTTTGCTCAGTGGATGAGGAGTGGCCCGGGGCCGGCCTAGCACAAACTCCAAGAGCTGGGAAGCAGCAGCAACAAGGCTGAGAGAGGCCTCTTGGCAGCCTGTGCCGAGCTGGCAGCCAGACCTGTTCCTGTTTGTGGAAGCCAGCTTGGCCTTTCTCTGGTTGGAGGAAGGGCAGTGACTGGAGTCAATGCTTTTTCCTAGGTGATGTCACGAAGTTTGGCCGTGGGGATTCTGCATCCCCTGTACCCCCTACCACACCAGCTCAGCCACAGCAGAGCCAATCACAGACCCACCACACAGCCCAGCAGCCCTTCCTGAACCCTGCACTGCCACCTGGCTATAGCTACACTGGCCTTCCCTACTACACAGGCGTGCCCAGTGCCTTCCAGTATGGCCCCACCATGTTTGTGAGTATTTCAGCGGGTGTGACTATGTCTCCTGGCCTTGGGTTGCTGGCAGGTGGAAACCTGGGACCTATCTTCCAGCAGGGAGGGAGGGTCATGATTCCACTCCGTCTTATCTGGCCTTCAGGAACTGTTCAGGCTGGGGACAAGGTCACTTTCCCCTGCTGTGTTTAGATCCAACATGTGTTGCACTAATGAAAACACAGGTCCCCTGTGGTTGTAGGTATGTCAGCTGCTGCCTTAGGCTCTGGCAGGGGTACCTGACCAGCCTCAGCTTGCCTCTTCCTACACTAATACCTCATCTGCTTGCCCCACTAGGTTCCTCCAGCCTCAGCCAAGCAACATGGGGTGAACCTCAGCACTCCCACACCTCCCTTCCAGCAGGCCAGTGGTTATGGCCAGCATGGCTACAGTACAGGTGAGGGGTGCTCCCCAGAGAGACACACGGGGTCAGACAGGCTTGCGTGGCTCACACTTGCCTCTTATACTCTGCCACGCTAGGTTATGACGACCTGACCCAGGGGACAGCAGCAGGAGACTACTCCAAAGGTGGCTATGCTGGATCATCACAGGCACCAAACAAGTCTGCAGGTTCTGGGCCTGGCAAAGGTAGCGTTTACCTCTCCTTTCCAGGATAAGGCCTGGAGTGGTGGGCTCCTGCCTGATCCCCTATCAGGCAGGGCAACCCCTGAGTGCCCCTGGAGGTGGGGAGCCTGGAGCTGGGAACAACTGCTGTGGGGAACAACTGCTTTTCCTCCTAGGAGTATCAGTGTCTTCAAGCACCGCCGGTCTACCTGATATGACTGGTTCTGTCTACAATAAGACACAGGTGAGGGACAAAGGTGGGTTGGGTGTATAGGTTTTTGGGAGGTTACAGCCCAACCTGACCTTCACCATTGTCTTCTTTGCCCTGCAGACTTTTGACAAGCAGGGATTTCATGCAGGGACCCCTCCACCTTTCAGCCTGCCTTCAGCCTTGGGCTCCACTGGGCCCCTGGCCCCGGGAGCGGCCCCTGGCTATGCGCCCCCACCATTCCTGCACATTTTGCCAGCCCACCAGCAGCCCCACTCCCAGCTGCTGCACCACCACCTTCCACAGGATGCCCAGGTGAGCACAGTGCTAGAGGTAGCCACCCTGCTCTGGGCTAGGGGTTCTGCTCCAGCCTTGACAGCCTTCCCTTCTTTTCTGCAGAGTGGCTCGGGTCAGCGCAGCCAGCCCAGCTCCCTGCAGCCCAAGTCTCAAGCCTCCAAACCTGCCTACGGCAACTCTCCATACTGGACAAACTAAATCCGGAAGAGAGGGGCGTGCTGGGGCACAGCTTATCCTGGGCAGGAGAGAACACACGAGCACATATTTGGGAGCCCAGTGCCCTTCCCTAGAATTCGTGGGGAGCCTGCCTCCCAGACTGGCTATTGTATGTAATGTATTTATGTATGTATTTGTAAATGTGATAGAAGTCTGGGGGAGTTCGGGGACGGCTGCAGATGTTAGCCAGGTCTGTTCTCCCCATTCAAGCCCCTTCTCCACTGTAGCAAAATAAGTGCCCCCACCCCATCTGCCTTCAGGTCCTCTTCATAGCCTGCACTGCCCAGTGGGCCACTAGGGGCAGTCTCTGGAAGGGCTGGTTCAAGGCTGTTTGGGTATAGGGGTCAAGTACCAATGAAGAATCACGACTTGTCTCACTCCTTTGGAAATTATTTGTTTTCTTTCCTGTGTAATTACTTTATACCCCTGTTTTTGAGAAACTGTTCATTTTGTCATCTGTCATGGTCTCCTTCCACCAAATCTTGATCTGGGAATAGCAGCGATATCCCTCCACCCCACACAAATATGGGCACCTGTTTGTCTTCAAACAGGGGCTTCTAGTCTGGTCATGTCCCTAGAGACTTACTAGAGACTGGCTGACCATGGAAAAAAAAAAATCTCAGTTGTTCAGCCAGTCAGCTCCCCTTTAAAAATCAAAGATACCTCCAAGCAACACATCTCCATTCCGGTTGTCTTGAACCAGGTGGGCAACTGTTTCAGGGGTTTTCTCTTGCCCAATCTCCACCTAATAAAGTTCTGAGAGCATGCACGGTCTGTGTGGTGTGACTGAAAGGCAGCTCAGGGCAGAAGCCCTGGACTTCATAGGACTAAAGGAGACCCCACATGGTTGTAGTCTTCTGACACAGGCTATAAAGGCTTGAAATGGTTTTCCTTTTAACTGGACCCTCTTGGCCCAAATGACAATGGCTGTAAGGAGAGCTAAACCTCCTCACAGGGCCCAGGCCATGTTGATCAAAGTTAACCTGGCTTTTCTTATAGCTCCTTAAGAGACTTAGGGATAGGGCAGCTTGGGACCTTACCTAGAAAAAGGTAAGTGTCTACAAGTAAAATTAGGACTTTTATTAAATAGGGTGATCTGCCTGATCCCTGCTATTAGCAGCAATAAGTTAGTTAGGAAAACAAATGACAGTGAAAATGTTTGCCTAAGGAAAGCAGCAGAGCACCCCTCAGTCCCTCACTGATCTACTTGTATCAGCTTCCGTTTTCAGAATCAAGTTTAACAAATGGCCACGTCTATAAGGAGCTTGAAGGGATTGGGGATATACCAGGGAGGTGAGTTAGAAAGGCAGATTCCCCAGTTGTGGTTTTTGTCTAATTTTTCAGCTGAGCCCTGGCATAATCTGCAAGGTTAACAGTGATATTGAGACCACCTTTTAGTTTTCTTTAAACACAAGTTAAAAAAAGAAGAGGGTCATTTCATGGGGAAGTAGCAATACAGGTATTTTATTTCACATTTTATTAGTAGACAGATGGGCAGAAAAAGACAAAATAAACCACTAAAGGGGAAGTCAACACAAAATGCATCAGATAATCTTTTCTCATAAGTTAAACTGAAGAAAAACATCTACAATTTCAGCTAAAACTATTAAAGTCAGGTGTGTCCTGCTGGTTTCAGAATAGTTGAAAATTGCATCTCTGAATCCTTTTAGTTGTAAATGTAAACCTTGTTTATCAGGATGGGAGGGGTGGAGAGTTCATTTTCAGTGGAGAGCTGCACATTTCCCCTTCCAATCTGTTTCTTACAATATGTGCCCCAAACGTAAGGAAACCAGCAAGTAAAGAAGCAGTTTGCCAGGGCAAGTGAAAGAAGGTTTCTACAAAAAAGTCTGACTAATAGAAAAGAACTCTGGAATGATAAAAGGAGAAGGGGGGAAGACTGAAAGAAGCAACAGCGGAATCATATACTTTCTCCACCCAGCCTCAAAATACACAGAACTGAAGAGCATACAGTGAGGCCTCAATTAGAATTAAAAGGAATCTAAAAATGCAAGATTTTGAGTTCATGTCACACCAAATAATAAGCACAACTGTACATACATGGTTCCGGATTGAGCCTGAGACCTCTACTCCCAGAAGAAGAAAAAAATTACAAACTCAAGTATTTTCCATAGGGATGTGTTCTCAGGGACAGAGCTCTGGAACCAGCCTCTGGGTTTCGTTCACAGTCAGTCTAAAATACCAGAATGTCCACCTGCTAGCAAGAGACTTACCCAGTCTTCTGGAACTGATTGTACTCATCAGAGGCAAACCCAGCCCTTGACAGTTAACACCCCAAAGGACTGAAAGGTACAACCTCCACTTGGTGCTCTGGCTCCCTGAGTCAATGTGTAACAGAGGCCAATAGGGCCTGACGGAACAGAGCTGTGCAGCAGAGCACCTTCCGCAATGCCAGGGTGCCGGGGCTGCCCTGGGAGTGAGAAGCTTTCGCAGTAAGGGGAATGAAAGGCTTAATTTTAGGGCTCTAAGAGAATAAGACCAAGCTACTGGCTGTAAACTTGCATGGGGGTTTTGGGGGAGGTAAACCAGAGCACTGTGAGAGGCTCTGGCTCCAGAAGATTTGCAGGTTAATCTGGAAGCATTACTTAAAAAGTACGGGGAGTAAAAAGGTAGTTCCAACATCTTTCTATGAGAGTTTGTGATCAGGCAACTTGACAATGTATTTCAAAGCTGCTCCGTTCCATGGATCTGACTGAAATCACTAGATTCTGGGTACAAGTAGCAACCCTGGCCCTGTGGAGATCATGGAGATCACAGAGATGCTGGGACCAGGCTCAGCGGTGTCCCCTAAGAGCCTTAGCTTGTTAAACAGTCCCATTTCATGCCAGACTAAACTTTTAGAGGCCGGGAAGGGCTGCTGGGAAGAAGTCATGTGTTTGGGAGTTTGAAGAGTGAAAACCCTGAGATCAGAACGAAGGAGGAGCTAAGGAAGTTAAGTGTCACCTACTCTGGCCATCCTAGGATCCCTCCTGCCCCTGTCCCTAATCTGCCCTTTGGTTCTGAGTTATGAACCAAAGGAGGAGCTGACACTAGTGCCCAGGGGTCTGAAATAGGACTATAGTCAGTCCTTGCTGCATTTGCCTTCTGTAATCTGATTTTACATTATAGCTGTTTCCTCCAAATAATGCCCTCTTATGATCTGATGCGCCCCCATAACAACCAAAAATTACCTTCAAGTTCTGAAGTCCCTGGATGGTGAAGGCTGCTGGATCTCAATATTGATTGAAGCAACACGATTGAGATCTGGAAAATCAAAAGCTGCAGCGAGTGCATCGCAGGAAGATCTAGCCTTATCTGGCCTAAAACCTGCCTGCAGTCAACTCTCTCAGCCCTGCCACAATTTCTATGCACAATTCTGCTTGCACTCCACAGCCTAAGTATGTTGAAAGGGGGAAAAAAAGTCCAGATCACATCCAATGAAGAAAGCGGTAACTCGTCTCACACACATCCAAGTTTCTCACTATCAGTATAAGCAGCTCGATGAAAACCAAAATCTTAACACATGCACCTAGGATTAATACTGAGTAATTTAAAGTGGCTACTTGAAAAAACCAAAACGTCATGGTAAGAGTGTATTTTTGATGGGAAGGCCATGCTGTTTCCTCTCCCAACAGTGGTCACCAGTAGTTTCAATTTTTTCCCCCCAGTAGTATCAACCAAACTTAGCATAGTGACTTTTAACTCTTTGTTCCCATCACTAAATCCACCCACACACACTCGTCCCAACTTCCCCACTTGCCCCACTCCCTGGGGGGAAAAATAACCCTGCCTTTAAAATAAATAGCAACCAAGTGCTCAGTTCTATGTAAAGTATGAATATTTATTTCAGGCTTTCAATCCCAATTGATTTCAAAAAACAAAGTCTGATTTCTCTCCTCAGAGCAGCTGAGGCCTCCATGTTACGATGGTTTCATGGAGATTGAAGGAGCACATTTCATCAGGCTTAGCAGAAAGTCCCTGACGCCCACCATGTCCCAGCCTTAGGAAGGGAAAGAAACAGAATTCACCACCATGGGGCTGAATGAATGCACACACACTAAATGAGCAGCTAAACCTTGGCAAATTTGCTTTTTTTTTTTTTTTTCAAGTTTGTTTTGTGGGTTTAATTCCATTTTCTTTTGCTACCCAGTATATGCAGCGCTTGTGAGCTCCCAACAGGTTCCCAGCTTTAAACACATTCAACCTCTTGAAAGACTATTGAATTCTTCAAGAATCTAAAAACAGACCAAACGTGTTTTGCTGTGAACATTCTGTAGAGACGAAGTGAGGCGGGAGTTTGGGTTGATGTTTTTTTAAAAAAGAATCAATACAGTGATGGAAGGGTAAAGAATGCAAGAATTCAGACATTCTGTGGAGGGTTACTCTCTCTCCATTAAAGGTCCATAAAAAGGAGCAAACTGAGATCCATAAGGGGAGTCAGCAGGAGCTGTGTGTGTTTCCCCACCCGCTGTGAATAGGTTTTTGCTGAGGGGCCATGGCCAGGTCCCCACTTGCTCCCCTCCCTTTGGCCTGAGACGGCAGGGCAGTACAGGGGCACTGAAGGAGCACGTCACGACTCCTCATTCCCAGAATCATCATCATCATAACAGTCGGCATCTTCCTCCTCCTCATCTTCATCATCAATGTCGTCGTCATACAAGTCGTCGTAAAGCAAATCTGAGCTGTTGTCATTGGAAGGCACTTTAGTTTTGATGCAGTATTCCGCCAGGGTTGTGGGGACCTTCACTCCATCCTTTTCTGCTTCGGCCTTAGTGGCTGAAACTTGTTTCCTGAAGGGAGGGTGACAAGAAATGGTTTATGGTAAGTCATTGTTTTGAGACAGATTTATAATTGGCCTTAAATAATCAATATTACTTATGACTCAGCTCTCCAAACTTCAGTATCTGCCTGAAAGCATCTGACAGATACCCTGTACTACACCAAATGCTTTCAACCCATTGGGTACAATTTTGAAGTAAACTTTGACTTTTTAGGGGGGGAAATACACTGTTAACATCGAGGGAGTTTAAAGCAGTGGATCAGTTAATAGCCAGAATCACCTCGTCAGCTGGCTGTCCTCTGCTTCATATAAGGGCCAGTAGGTTGGCGACTAAGAATCAGAGCAGGCATTGACTTAGTGGGCGGAATGTTATGCTTTGTTGTTTGCAGGTGTGAAGCACAGGGATAACTACTAGAATAAGAAGAGATAATAGAAGGACTAATATCCTAGTTTACTGGGGATAGATCGTAAGATTCCGTATGCGAATAAAAAGTGGCACTCTGATTTAATGTGGGGTGGGGTGCTTAGGGGGTTGGCTAGAGTGTTAAGAGTTTTGGCCTAGTCACCTCACCACCAAACTCATGTGCCCCAACAATTCTTAATTATCCTCTTAATTTTCACTTATAGTAAAATTCAAATGCCTTACGCCAGATTCCAAAGTCTTGCACAACCCACTCTTCCCCACCTGAGACGGAGTCTCGCTCTGTCACCCGGACTGGAGTGTAGTGGCGTGATCTCAGCTCACTGCAACCTCAACCTCCCAAGGTTCAAGCAATTCTCCTGCCTCAGTGTCCCCAGTAGTTGGGATTACAGGCTCCCACCACACTTGGCTAAATTTTATACTTTTAGTAGGGACGGGATTTCACCATGTTGGCCAGGCTGGTCTCAAACTCCTGATCATGATCTGCCCAGCTCAGCCTCCCAAAGTACTGGGATTACAGGCATGAGCCACCGTACCCGGCCACACAACCCACTCTTATATTTTCTCCAGCCCTTCAACACATTCACCCTGGTCTTTTTTTGGTATCTCAGACACACCTTGTTGATTTTTCTGTCTGGACCAGTTGCTCTTCCCCTGCCCCACACATGCCTGGCTCCTTCTTGTCATTTGGAATGAAGGTCTCAGATATTAAGGCTTAAATATCACCTTAGAGAAGGCCTGGCCTCATGACCCAATTTAAAGCAGCCATCTAGTCATTCTTTCACATTATCCACTTAGCACTGTCTAGTATTTTTTGCTTGCTCACTCTTCTGTCTCCACATATTTCAATGTGAGCGTAAATGTCTTTCTTAGTCCCTTCTATTTCCCCAGTCAGTGCCTAGCACATAGCCTGGCACATAAGAGATGGTGCAATAAATACTGATTGTATGAATGAACAGAACAATAAATTGTTTCCTTCAACAATTATAAAAATTTGAGTCGACTAGACCACTCTTCCTGATCTTCCTAATGTCAATCTCTTAGCTGTGCTTGAAGCTTTTCTTCTGTTGCCTTGCTTTGCATACTGATGGTCCTGAGGCTTCTGGGCTTGTCTCCACACTCAGCATGCTCCCTGGGACATCATCTCTGTTCCCATAATTTTAACCACGACTCCCTTTATGCTGACATCTCTTGGCTTATATAAACAAATACCTTTAGGAAGCCTCTGTCCCGATGTTCCATATGCAGAGGTAGACTGCATATACATTTTCTACCTCTATGGCCAGTTTCTCCCATTTTATGTCTCTGAATAAATGAGCATCGCTTCTTAAAATAATGAATCTCACTCCAAAGACCTATTGCTTTACAACTTAAATATCTGTCCTGTCATTCCCATTACTACTGCCTCAGTTTAGTCCATGTTGGTCCCCTGGCCAATTGACTTTTTTTTGTTTGTTTTTTTTGAGACAGGGTCTCCCACTGTCACCCAGGCTGGAGTGCAGTGACGCAATCTCAGCTCATTGCAACCTCTGGATTCAGGGCTCAAGCAATCCTCCCACCTCAGACTCCCAACAGCTGGGATTACAGGTATAACCCACCATGCCTGGCTAATTTTTTTGTAAAGATGGGATTTTGCCACGTTGCCCAGGCTTGTCTCGAACTCCTGGGCTCAAACGATTTGCCTACCTTGGCCTCTCAAAGTGCTGGGATTACAGGCGTGAACTATTGTCTTTTTTTTTTTTTTTTTTGAGACGGAGTCTTGCTCTGTTGCCCAGGCTGGAGTGCAGTGGCTCGATCTCAGCTCATTGCAACCTCTGGATTCAGGGCTCAAGCAATCCTCCCACCTCAGACTCCCGAGTAGCTGGGATTACAGGTATAAGCCACCATGCC